AACTCGTCAGCGATCTTTTCTTCACGAACGCCATGCAAGTCAAAGTAGTTGATTATTCCCCTGGATGCATTTTTTTTTTTTTTGACAGGTGTGGTGTCACTCGGACAGGTACAGAAACGCTTCGTTTGCCATCCTTGTCCCGAACGCGGTACGTGAATTCGGCTGCAGCCCTCGCACGATCAGCCTCTGCCCCGTTAGCAAACTATACCTCTAACCCTCCGTCACGCAATTTGTCGCACGCCGAACCACATTTCCAAATCGATCACACCCGTTATTCGCTCAAACGGCGAGAGAGACGAGGGTCTCGTTGTCACTTGAAAACCAAAATTCGGGGAGATGACGAAGATTCCCCTCGCTTCCTGTTATGAACGTGGTCCTTCCCCCCTTTCGGGGGTCGAATGGTTTTTTGGTTATAATATGCCATGCAAGTTTCAGTGAAGTTTCGGCACCGGGGCTCCCCACCCACCACGGAGCCCAACTGGTGGACGGCCCAACACTCCCTCGGGAGGTGGTTACCGCCAGGGCTACGCCGGTGCTATACGGGGCGAACGACGCCTCCCACACGGCCAGGGGTAACCGGGGAGGACCCCTCCCCGTCCTGACCCGTGGTTCAGCGCCGCCGTCCCTTGACCCGTAAACCGCTGCGCACGGCCAGGCGACCCAAGCGGAGGCCCGCACGGAGCACCCAGTCGCAGCGTGAGCGACAAGCCGCTAGGCCCGTGTGGGGCCCCACGGACCCCCCCGCGTCTCCGGATATCCTGGCTGAAGTGGAGTGTTGGGACGAGCCGCGACTGACCCGCACGACGCGCCCCTCAGCTACCAGGATCCGATCAACCCGGGGACGCGGGCGAGGGGGCACGGCAACCCCGATAAAACGAGGATTAGGAGTGATGAGTGGGTCAGATGCGGGAAAGCGGGTAGTGGGGAGGGAGCGGGCGAGACAAGGAGCGGGAGCTCACGTACCGGCAGGGTCGCTACGCCCTGAGAGGAGCAGCTTGCGCTGTTCACCCTTACCGGAGCTGGGACCCCGGTGCCCCTGCGGGTTGACCTGGCTCTACGTATCGTGCTGGAGGTGGGGCTATGGCTTGTGGGACTCGTCTCAAAATGACCTTGGGATATAATGTCACGTGTGAGCCCACCCAACTACATTCCATATGCATTGAGATATCTCACATCCGATTTGTATTGCTTACCATTCATCCGGGGGTGACAGCACCATTCATCCTAGGCACCCCCGTAGTACCATCAGCACTGGTTCAATATTAAAGATGGTGATGAGAAGACTATCATAATGCCGTAGACTTGAAATTTGAATATCCCGCTAAATCAAATTCGTACTACGTAAAGCATTGTAATTACTTTTCATTGTAGGTATATTATGGTATTGCCATGACGTCACTTACTTGCATGAGCGGCGGGCGCAAGGCAAGTGTAATATTCTTTGATACAATCACGGTTGAGATGTTACGAAGTGTGGGACCAGGTGCCAATATTTACCTATTAACCCGTGCAGCGCTGTATAACTTTGCATTGCTTTGTAGTGATAGGAGTAAAAAGGTCAGTTGTATCGCTGGTCTCGATCTGGTCAAGCTCCCGGTCCGGTGGCCAAACAGTCTCAAATGATGGGCAGATTCAGTGAGGAATGTCATAAATGATATCCGCCCAGTGCATATCAAGCGTAGGCTTAAACAGCTCATTAAACATTAAAGCTTTTTGCTCTTAAAATGTTAAACTGTTCTTTGTAGAGATGTGCGTATGAGGATTCAAAAACAGGTGCTTGCTCCACGTAAGTGGGGTGAGAGAGTCATGTCCATTCCAACCCTTCCATAATTTCGGAACACACATGCATGTATTATTATATGTTGGGTCCTTCATATGCAACATTAATTTTCCCATGTTTTCATCCCCTGGTAACACATGTGCTTGGACTAGAACCTCTGCATTTTTTCCATGTTTTCCTCCCTGTGGTAACAATTGTGTTTGGAGAAGAACCTCCCTCACCCTGATTATTCTGTAATATCAAGAAGGTATTTTGAGGATTTGTAACAGTGTGAACACATTGTGCAGTCCAAAATCTTCCTTCCCTTTGTTATATTTTGGTGATGTGTCATGGAAGTCCCTCCTCTCCATGCATGTTTATTTTATGTATGGCCATGCTATTGGTTTCAGATACATTTGAGGCAATCAATTAAATAGAAAGTATTGGTATTGTGCAGACTGAAAGCGTTTGTAATGTGTGATGTCCCCGTTAAACTGACACACATTTGGACTGTGACTGTGTAGACTAGCATACATTATTTGTGTCATTAGGCTTTTTTAAAAGCCATGGCTGCAGATCAGATTTCATCACATAGTGAAGGTTGTGTTGCAAATGGAAAGTTGATATGGAATGGTTTTTCTCTTTGCTACCATTTGATGAAGACAGTACACATGTTGCACTTTGTCCAATGACATCATTATATGGTTCCAGCTTAATCTTCAGCGCAGGACTAGACTTGTGGAAGCACAATGTATGAGAAAGTCTTGTCTGCAAACCAGATGGATCATCAGTATTATTTATTGGTGAGTTGGATCTTCAAGGCCAAGTTAATTTTGTGGGTTGGCTGGTGCTTTATTTGGGGCTTGTGATATGTACTTGGTGCTGATACCTGGCAGTTTGCTGTTTTGTTTAGCAAGATGGTCATGGTGATTAGTAAGCAGTATGAGGAAAGGCCATAATGATATTGCAGCATGGAGTTAGAACATTCATTAATGACACTATGATGCATGTCTCCATGCCTCAGGATGCTTACAGTTTTTACACTATTTATTCTTTTGATGCTGTAGCTCTCATGTCTGGTACAAGATAAGGATCCATCTCTGTGTGTTGGGAGGAGAGAGAGGGGCCATCATGGTCATTTGGGAATTAAAATATTTTATGTGGTCATTAACCCCAAAGCATGCTTCACTTTATTTTTTGTGAGGTGCTTTGCACCACATTTTGTTGTAGTGACAGACCACACCCTACATCAAGCCATTCACACAGTCAAAGCTATTTTTCCCTCAAGTATTGTATCACGTGATGTGAAACTGTGGTCATCTGTCGTGACTCATAATTAAATTCCAACCACATTCAGTGTGACATGGTCAAAGTTAAACTTTACCACTCTCAAAAAAGTTTCTTCACATACCATACCTCACACCATGCCTAGGGGAGTGGTTCATGTATGAGCACAGGAACAGACAGTTCAGACATAGATTCCCACCAGCCTGTGCTGCTGCCCACAGATGTGGGAGCCAGCTGCTCGCGCCAGCTGCTGCTGGGGTACGTGCTGTACCGGCTGCAAGCAGCAGGTGCCGTGACGTTCGTGCCGAGCGGCGAGCGGCCGGAGCAGCTGCCTGGCCAGCCACTGCTCAGCTGCCGACCGCTGGATGAACAGCCAGGCTGCTGGCAGTCGGCTGCCCAGCTGGCCGCCCAGTTGGAGGCAGCTGTGCCTGCCGCTGGCCCGCCTGCACAGCTGATGGTGCTGGAGGATGCCTCGTGTCTGGCGCATTGGCTTGGTGTTGGCCGACTCTGCGACTGGTGCAGCGGGTCATGGCCAGAGGTGAGCTGGGATGGTGTGGCAAGTTATGGTAGGTCAGCATGAGGGTGGAGCTGGTCATGGCCGGAGATGAGCTGGAGGCCGTGCAGCAGGTCACAGCTGGGGGTGACCATGGGTGGTGCTACAGGTCACAGCCAGTAGGTGGGCTGGGATGGTGGAGTAGGTCATGGTTAGAGGTGAGCTGGGGTGGTGCAGTGGGTCACAGCCAGAGGTGAGCTGGGGTGGTGCAGTGGGTCATGGTTAGGCCTAGTTGGGGTGGTGCAGCAGGTCATAGCCAGAGCTGGCTGGGGTGGTGCAGTGGATCACAGCGAGGGGTGAGGTGGTGTGGTGCAGCGGGCCACAGCCCAGAGGTGAGCTGGGATCTGACCCAGCCAGTGGTCTTTGAAGGACGAGTGAGCACTGCCATATGTTAAGTGTTATTTATCGGGTTGACAGCGAGCACAAAGCAGTATTTTTGTCATCTTTTCGTTCCTTGTAGTTCATTTGGGCTAATGCTAACAGACATAACTAACACCTCACCCACCGACTTGTTAAACTGCTCGCCCCCAACATTTCGACGATCAATGTGCCGTTCCCCCTCGGACCGCCAGATGGCGCTGACCACGGCCTGTTTCCCCCAGCCCCGGCCACCAGATGGTGCTGGCGGTGGGTGAGAACGCCATCGGTGAGGAGTGGGCTGGCCCAGCTGCCCACTACCGCCAGTCACGTGGTGGCGGTGGAGGGCACGGGACGCGAGGTGGCCATCAGCGTCACCCTGCCGCTCCAGGACCGGCAAGGTCGATACGCTGTTACGTACAGTGTGCTCAGAGCGGCGCGCGCGCGGCATAGATCGCCGGGCCGCTGCCACGTCAGCCACAAACGTGGATGAGGTGTTTTGGGAACTGTTTGCATGGGGAATGAACGTGACAGAAATGGCTTACAAACGATGGGCGTTATTAGTGCGTGTGATATGTTCGATCCCTAATTTCAATCAATCATTCAATCTATGTATTGCTGGAGTAAAAACATGTCGAAAGTTGTGAGAATGCATTCAAAGATAAATGCTTTGGTATTCGTGATGACTTCATGAACGTGCTAGACTGTTCTTGCGGTCAGTTTCTTGCGGCCCAGTGTCCGTCATTGTTTCACTGGCTTCCCGTGATCGGATGAGAAGGAGCGGGTGTGTCTGGACACCAAGCTGCAGGTGGTCTTTCCCCCTATCACTTGTCGTGACGCCCCCCCCCCCCCCTCCCCGTGTCTCCGTTAGAAGGAGCGGGTGGTCCTGGACACCGGCTGCAGGTTATCTGTACCCCTGTCACTGGTCCTGACCTCCCCGTGTCCCCGTCAGGAGGATCGGGTGGTCCTGGACACCGGGCTGCAGGTGACCCGCGTGAGCCGCGGCGGCCCCAACTCGCCCCTTGCAGCTTCCGGGTCCCGATCCGGGCCGCCCAGCTGACCACCGGCCTCACCACCTTCAGCCCTGCAGCTGTCGGAGCAGGAGCGCCAGGCGCGCAGCCGGCTCGTGCTGCCCTACCTCAGGTAAGGCCCGGCTCTTGCTGCCCTATACCAGATACCTCCTGGTTCAAGCTGCCCTGGATCAGATAAGGCCAGGCTGGTGGTGCCCTACCTCAGGTAAGGTCCGGCTCGTGCTGCCCTATCGCAGGTCAGGCCCGGCTCGTGCTGCCCTACCTCAGATAAAGCCCGGCTCTTGCTGCCCTATACCAGATACGGCCCGTTTCGAGCTGCCCTGGCTCAGATAAGGCCCGGCTCGTGCTGCCCTATCTCAGATAAGGCCAGGCTGGTGCTGCCCCAGCTCAGATAAGGCCCGGCTCGTGCCGCCTCACCTCAGGTGAGTCTCCAGTGCGGCACTGCTCCGCTGGCAGATGCCCTGCCGCGCCGCAAGGCCGTTCGGCGGTCGCCCCGGACGGGTGCGTAATTATGGATACTTTCCACAGACATGCCTCAGCATTACTGACGGCCCCCGCAAACGCGGTGCGGCCCAGGCTCGTGGACGTAGATCGACGCCACTGTCCGCCACCCGGCCGCATCTTCGGCCTTTTCCGACCGGCCGTTGCTGAGGTCCTGCATGCGTAGCACACGCACGTTCGCAGGTAGATCAGGGCGTGGTTTCATCACAACCAAACTACGAAACTGCGCATTTGTTAATCACCACGTGCGAGTGAATGGACCGGAAAAGGCAAACAATGTGGGTCGTAAATCATCCTCCGAAAGGCCTTGCAAGTACAAATCCAAGCTGTTTATGGAGCGCTTGTTCATGCGTGGGGAATCAGAAGTGCGCTGGTTGGTGGCTTCCTTTGAAACCAGGCCCTGTGTCGCCGTAGCTATTCGTGTTTGATGTGCCGGGCAAGCTGAGCAAAGACAACGTGCGCGTAAGCTGATAAGGTTCAGCATCCACTCTTGTTTTGATAGTGGTGGAATCATTTTTTCGGCCATTAAGGGACGTTATATTAATCGAGACTAATATTTGGATACGTATGTCAGAGAGCGTCATGTTTTGCAAATTCAGATTGTATAGTTTTACCAGCTGTTCTCCCTCAATGCTTCAATATGCCTCTAGTTTTGGCTTTATATGGGTCCTATTGCAGGTTCGTACCTTATGTGGTCGCTGCATACACCAGTACGTTAAATCATGGCTTATGGCGTCATCAGCCGAACAAAAAGTGGCATAAGGGGCATGTCCTTTGTCCTGCGCCTGCCGAGCAGCCTGTGCAAAACGGCCTTTTGGAATTAAAATATTTTGGGCAGTTAAAATTAAAAACCTTGAGTTAGCCCAATCCCTTAAATGCTTCTTTGGCGTTGTTGTATTCAGTAAACTTTGAAACACTTGCGTGGTTGTGAAGAGTTGGTTTCAATCAATGACAGTTGTAATTGCACCGGCAGTCATGTTTCACTATGACAAGTTGTATTTCATGTGTATGCTATGGGCGTCGCTCATTTCTAACCTTTTGTTGCTTGTTAATCCGCCATGGAAAACGAGAATACCCCGTTGGTGGCTATTTCTTGACTTAGTGGAGCGGCCCCAACATTTTCCACGCATTTTGGGGATCACGGTCTGTTAGTTGCGTCGTTGTTGCCTTTACAACAGGACGGCACTGCTCTCAACGTACATTTGTAGCGCGGAGTCTGGCTGTTGTGGCTTCCGTATCAATCTGACTGCCGTGGTTTCCGTGGCAGTCTGGCTGCTGTGGCTTCCGTGGCAGTCTGGCTGCCGTTGCTTCCGTGGCAGTCTGGCTCGAGGTCGCACTGGAGTCGTCCAACGTTCTGCCCGCAGGCCGGAGCAGGGTCGGGAGGAGGCCGGGTCGGGAGGTCAGATCTTCTACCAGCCGGACGCCGCCGACGACTGGGACGAGGAGGATCCCGACGACGATCTGGACGTGTGACCTGACCTGGCACGATCCCGGGCCTGGGATGACCTCGGCCAGGTCGGGAGGAGCTGTTAAAGGTCTTTGCCACCTCCAGTCCGAAGGATCAGCCGAATGTGAACTAGGCCTGGCCTGGAAGGTGACCGGGGTCTGACCACGGCAGACACGACCCGCGGCGTGACCCCGGCAGCGCCTGAGCCTGTGTGACCGCTGTGGGTCTGTCAGTGGATCTCCGTCTGCGTCCGGCTCCGAAGGACCGGACCCGGGCGACGCATCTGTCGAGGGAACCGTGCCGTGCCTTCCCGTGCAGGGGAGAATGGCGTGTGTAAACTGACTGATTAATTAAGTCCGCAGAGACGCACAGCCGGGCCGATGAATGTCGGAGCGGCTCCGAAGACTGGTCTTGACGGGTCCGAAGACCGGTCGATAAGTTTGTTGTCTGACTTCAAAGATGATAAATTTGTTTTGCAATTACTGTGCGAGTGTTAAGAACATCAACCACTGCGACCCTGGGTCTCTGTCAACGCGCCTCTCTGAGGTCTCCGACGAAACCCACGCACTGCGCGCTCAAATATTGTATTGTTATTAGTATATACATTTTGTTACACACATAATTGTCGCTATAATCAACAACGCTATGTCAATCGAGCACAGGCGCGTCCAGCCAATAAATATATTCTAGACTCGAGCGGGGCCGCGAGGCGCCGCCCCGGCGGGCTGGCCGCCCCGGCGGCGGGCGGGCCCGTCCCGCGCTCGGCCCCCACGTTTGTTCGATGCGACCCGTCGCCGCGGCGTCGGTCGTACTAGTCTCGCAGGTTTTGATTTCTCGGCGGATTCATCGTGGTGGGGCGGGCGGGCCGGCGACTAGCGGACCTCGGCGCGAGCGAGCGGGCGCGCGCTGCCGCCCGGTGAGCGAAGGAATGCGACTCGCGACCAAAGTCAACAACACTGGATCACTTCTCGACTGGGCAAAATAGTCTGTCTCGCTATGTACAGCGGCGCGCGGACTCGCTTATTGCCGGGCGTCGACGGGCCGCCGGCGCCGCTATCACAAGCACTCTTTGGCCGGCGGGTGCGGCGGGCGCGCGCGCCCGGGAGTCGCCGCCTCACCGCGCCAGCCGGTCCATGGCGGCGCGCAGGCGCTGTTCTCCCATGCTCGGCACCAGCTTGACCATCAGCTGCTGCACGAACTGGTCGCTGATGCCGGGCGCGCTGCGCTCGGCCAGCTCGAAGGCGTTGCGCAGCTCGTCGATGGCGTCAGTGCGTTGCGCCAGCGAGGACGAGTCGCGCGCCCGGTAGCTGTTCCGGTGTCGCCGCTGGAGCTGCCGGCACGGTCGCAGTCGGTCACGCACCGGCCGCCGCTATCACACACAGTCATGCACAACGGGCGTCAAGAATGCCCCCGGTCCAGAGGGAGCGCATGCCGTTACTCCAGGTGCTGACTTCGGCCTAGACGCGGCCAAGTAATGAAAGCCGTCGGGTCAACAACGCCGCTTCCATTGGCATCATCAATCCCCGTGTGGAAACTGAGCCCCTGCAAGTCGCCCTGCACTGGGAAACAAAGCCCGACCTGTGGCGCAGTACTTGCACCCCCAACCCCTCGCTTCGCCGGCCGCCTGCGGGTGTACCGACCTCGGACATGAGCGGGTGGATGACACCGCTGAGCGTGCGGCTCCGGTTCGGGTGCTGGCTGGTGGGACTGACGACCTTGCTCGGACTGCCCGACGAGCGGCGTCTGTTGCCGGCCGCCGGCGTCGCCGGCTCGGCCGGGCTCTCCGCCACCGACCGGCGGTGCTCGGTCGGCGGCGGCGGCGCCGACGTGGTAGGCCGCGTCTGTCCGACATGGGTGGCGCGTCAGCGCGGCGTCGCAGCCCGACACGGGCCATGCCGCCGACACAACGGCGGGCGACAGCGGCGGACAGCACGGCGACGACACCCGACAACGCAGGCAGGTCGCGACGACCGCTCTGACCGACCACAACAGATCACACGACCGCGTCGTCCGCCACCTGCGACATCTCATCACGTCCCGAACTCAACACGGGTCAACCGGTGTGCAACCGGCTGCCAGCTCTACCCCGCACGTGGTCTGCGGCGCCCCGCCGCGCCGGGGCCGGCCGCGCCTCGGGTGACCCCCGGTCGATGCCCCGGCGGCGCCACTGACCGGACTGCGCGGCGGCGGCGTCTCCTTCTCCGGAGACCGCGGCGTCGGTGTCGTCAGCGGCGAGACGTCCGGCAGCGCCGAGCCGTTCTGCAGCTGCGGAGGGGACGGACCGCGCGGGTTAGGGGCTGGACGGGACGCTGCAGGCCGGAGGGGGAGGGGGTGAGGGGGGACACAACGCAGCTAGATCCACCCGGGACGGCGACACAAACCCAGCGAGATCCACAGGAAAACGGTACGCACACCGCCACGCACGGGTCACGGGCCTGGCTCTGCGGGCGAACGCAGCTGCCCGGCGGCCTGACATACCACGGTATCTGACAGCTCCAAGTGATGGCCCGGCACCCCGTCACTGACCTGCGTGATGACCTGGGGCGGTATCCGGTTGTTGTGGTTCATGCTGTCGATGTCGCGGTCGGCCTTGCCGCCGTTGTCGACGCTCGTGTCCAGCTCGGTCTGGCGGCGGCCCGACGACGGGCCGCGGATGGTCGGCACCCACGGCTCGTCCAGGTCGGAGTCGTTCCGCGACCCCTCCCTGCGGGCGATCGGCGCCGGCCGGCGTCAGCACGGCCGGTGACTCCAGCGCAGCGGAGGGCGTCCCACAGGCGACCCCGTCGCGACTGAGGACATCACGTCGACTATCCCGCCCTATCCGGTACGCATGGTACCGCGCTCATTGCACCCCGAATAAGTAATGATCCAATCATCGACATGGGCCACAACCGACACGCATGGTCGCTGCACGACCGGCGGGTTTGGACCGCCTCGCGCGGCGGCCCCATAAGAGGCGACAGCCGTCACACGGCGCGCTCTCCTGCAGCCGCGCCGTCGCAGCACTGCGCCGCCCCCTGGCGGGCTGCGGATCGAGACGGGTCAGGCTGCAGGGGGCGGGCGGGCCGCGGCACCGAACCACGAGAGGGTCGGCCCGGCGCGCCGCCGGTCGGCTGCCGGCCACGTCTGTCACACACACCGAGTGAGTCCCAGCGTACGTCATGTATCCGCGCATCGCCAGAACATGAGCCAACCACGCCTCTTAACGGGCCCCACGTACAGTTCATTAGTCATGACTCAACGACGATGGTTTGCATGTTCCACTGTGCAAACAGTCGGACAGAAATGGGCCAAGGGGTGGCGAACGTGTCCGCTTTGATTGCACGTAAGTAGCAGAGTGTTAGCTTAGCTCCAGACGAATAGGAATACAAACGAGTGCTGAAGTTCCGAGTGTTCCGGCCCCTTGCGCACTTCATGCCTGCCCCATCAATTGCATAATCTACGAAGATCATTAAAAGCTGGTGAGAATTTCGCACACTAAAAGAACATTGTAGCGCGATCTTCCCAGAATCATTCAATCCTTTGCAGTGCAAGAACACTGCGTAACCAGCCAATGCAAATACAACTTAAAAGCCTATTTCGTACCAGATAATTCAAGATTAATGGCCATAATGTGCTCTAAACCGTTCAATTCGTCACACGTCGCAGGTAGCCACGTTCAGATATCGATTACATTAATTAAAGCAAGCCATCAGCGGCAATCGATGGCAGGATAAAACTGACAGAGCCGCTGAATTGCTCGAGCGAATAACGAGCATTTCACTGGAAAAGCTTATGAAAATGTTCGTCTCAGAATGTAAACGCGGTTGCGTTGTTAATCAGGCTTGGCGAGCGATAATGGTGATTTAAAAGATCACTTAGATCATCCATCGCTGTCTAATTGTGTCGACGTCAACAAATCACTGTCGTTTTGGCTGTTCAGATCAGTGACATTTTCCCAGTGTGTGCCGATGCGGCGCGGTGCTCGAGAGCCACGATACTTAACATTAGATTGGCGATTAAAAGGAATTTAAACCACGACGCCAGAATCACGTGACCGAAGCATGCACATGTCCTGTTGCTGGGCGCAGAACACGCAATTAAACAAACAAACCACAAGTGACGTGATTACGTCATTACGTAATGCAAGGGGCTCGTTCATCCAACGTGCCGGAAATACGCCCATACAACTTCTCCGAATCGGTTTGAAATAGGGCGCCTAACCAATGACCTAGCAACCGGTTGAGGCCAAGCGTAGGAATGCGGTTATCTCCACCGCGGGCGGTTACACCCATTCACGACATCGGCGAACCCTCGTCGCCTGTAGGTTGAAGTCCCGCGCAGCTTTATCCTTCCTGCACAGACTACAACGTGGCCCAATATCGGCCGGATGCATCGGGTTGCTCCATAACCAGCGCAGCCACTTATGACGCGAGAGTCACGCGCGCGCCCACACAGCCACCCGCCCCACCGCGTGTAGCGCTGGTCGCGCGTTGCGGCGATGAGAACGTGCGGTACTGAGTCCCTTGCTACTCACGAGTCGGTCTCCTCGCTGCTGTCTGAGTCGTCCTGCTTGGTCATCTTGTACTTCTTGTGCCGGTCAATCAAGTCGATCAGGTACGAAGTCTTCTTGGCCTTCCGGATGAACGGCAGCCGCAACAGCTCCTTGGCTGTCGGCCTCTGCGGACAGGGACGGGCGTGACGGCTGGGCGCGGCCTTCGCTGCGCCGGGGCGGTTTCCACGGAGCTGGTAACGGCCATCGCGCTTCAGTCGCCCTCAAAAGCGAAAGTTGCGTTGGCTAATGCTCACGCACGCGCACGCCTCAATCCCCGCTGTGGCGCTGACGCCGCGAGAAGGCAGAGAATGCCGAAACGCGCAACGTTCCACCACGCTTGTCGGCGAGGTCACGGCGTCGGACAAAAGAATGCCTCGTGGACCAATACGGCAGCTGTTGCATAACGTTCCACCGCGCCAAGACCGGCCCGACTGCCGAGCAGGTCGGATCCGGAGCAAATCCGCCCTGTGCCGCGACCAGGCCCACGCCTCTAAACTCGTCCGGGACGGCGGCGCGGCTCATGCGGTGCAGACAGCTCCATAAGGATCGCCACAGGGCGCCCGCCCCGTCATCACGGAAAGACCGGCTGGGGGGGGGGGGGGCGGGGAGCGGATCAGCCACATGAGCGCCCCACCGCACCACCCAAGACGCGGCGAGAGCCGCCAGCTCCCGCCGTCCCGCACACCTGGGCGTAACGTGGAGCCGAACACGGCTCCCAATCCCACGAGACGCGCTCCAATCCGGCATCGGCTGTGTCTGACCAAAACGGGTCCCTCGACCACGCTGAAGTCTATCGTGGGTGTATTAGTATGGAGTATTGTAACTTTACATGATGCGAGCGGCGTTGGTCATGCGCTCGCTCCCCTTTTCGAATTGATTATCATGCTATCGGTCTACGTTCCATGGCATCACGTCACTTATCTGCCATCACTCGCGGGCACGCTCCTACTGGCGACTACAAGCGAGCCCGGAGCATAAACC